CCCCATGGGGAAGTCTTGGACGCGCCTATGATGCACAGAGAATGATGCTGCGCCAAAATGAAATCATAATTACCCTGATGTTCAACTTCAGGAACGTGGCGATCAGCGCGGGTGGAACATTGCCCTTCTTCTGATTGACAATAGTTGCAATACATTTCACGGCTATTGACGAAACTTGAAAACTGAGATCGTTACGAAACAATTCGTTCAGTGAATCGCAGCAGATGTCCGTTGCCTGCAAAAATACTTGAATGTTTAGAGCAACTGCTCGCCTAGACATGAAATTAGTTGCAGAGTGAGAAAAACAGTAATGTGTACGTAAAATAATTACTTGTTTATAACCGGATGTGGCAATTCGAACAACAAGACGGATTATTTCTGAGATATAGTTGAAATGAGGAACGGAGACAAGAAGTTTCCCAAGGCACTTCAGGCAAACAAACGGCATTTCCTTATCTCCCCATTCTCTGGATGTCTTCAGAAGAAGCTCTAAAAAACACCTTTTAATTATTTCTGTCTCTTCAAATCACACAACTGACCTGTACATATCTATCCCAAAGTTGCAACGGAATATCTGCTCGAATATAAAACCAGCAGAAACTCACTTCCGGCATATTTTTCCAGGTGTTTCAGATATTTTAGATAATAGCGTAGAAGTGCTTGCTCGTAATCAAACAGTTTCTTCGTTTCTTTTTTGAGTTTCTGCGACAGCTCTTCTTCGGAACGTGCTCTGCAATTAAAGAACCAGTCATACTGTACGATTTATAATTATTTGCTGATGGGCTTGTATAGGGACAAATGGAGCTATTATTAGGTTAAATAATGAGGATTTGACGTCACAACTAGTAGCGAGACAATCAATACCTTCACGATTCTTTCAAATTTTTGTAAATAAACTGGTACCAGCGTGTGAAAGGGAGCAAAAACAAACCGGTAATCGACCCCAGTGGAACCTCTTGAAGCGCCTTGTCAACGGATAACTGCTGTTACCATATCCTACCATTCACTAATGCCTTAATCCCTTACAGGGAAACAAATACGAATCGTTTAGTCTTTCAAACCCACGAGATAAAAGCTTCGTCGTGTCACAAGTCTCTCAGAGAGCACTGAATTCCTACAGTACATGAGTCCAGCAAACAAATCCAAGCCGCTGTAAGGGCAGAAAGTCAATTAACCAAAGCAGCAAAAGGGCAGCAAAAGAACAAACCTTATTGCATATCCTGGAATAATATCAATAAAAACTTGCGCAACCGAAACACTCGCTAGCTTCATCACAATTTCACGTACCGCTGGCATGACACCATCACCAGTGCAGAGCGCATAGAAATCCTTTAATTTACGTACCTAAAACTGCTTCAGTTTGACATTTTTCAATTCTATATCAAACAGCGAGATAGTGACCAGCTATCCTAGTGCTTGGGGACATAAGAGGGCAAATTTTTCACTAAAAAATTTTGAGCTGTTTCAGACATCCAGCAAATTGTTTCAGGAATTGAGACGATTTTTCACGTTAATTGAAAAAAACCCTTTTATTTTGTTATAGATGTGAGGAAACTACTCATGTAGTGTTAGTGCTTTTTTAGAAAACCAAAGAAGTTAATAAAAAATTTGTTCAGATAAACGAATAACT